TGATTTGGCCTAGAAAACAGTATTTTCCCAACCAAGAGTTACTGATTAGGCTTTCTAGAACATAATATTTTCCCAACCAAGAGTTATTCATTTGGCCCGGAACTATTAACACTTTTAATACCAAGAGTTACTGATTAGGCTTCCTAGAACATTGGACGAATGTGTTGTTTTTTAATATTTTTTGTAAAATAACAATTGTAATATTACTCAACACAGCATTTATTTGTATGTAGAAGAAAATCGTCTTATTGCAATTAAGGCATTTTATGTATCTTTCTGTAAAGTGAAGCCTTTTTATGAGAAACGTTTTATAAATCACAACAAATACTGCAGTGTTTTCAGAGAGGAATGGTTAAGTATTCACAGGTTTTGAACTGAAGTCAACTAGTTGCTGATTTTACAATAAATAGTAAATAGACCTGGTTTGGGAGAATGTATGCCTTAGACCAAATCAGTAACTCTTGGTATATAGAATGTTATTAGTACTGGGCCAAATCAGTACCTCTTGGTCGGGAAAATATTGTGTTCTAGGCTAAATCAGTAAATCTCGGTTAGGACAATGTTGTATGTTTTAGACCAAATCTGCAATTCTTGGATAGGAAAATATTGTGTTGTAGGAAGCCTAATCAGTAACTCTTGGTATGAAAAGTGTTATTAGTTCCGGGCCAAATCATTAACTCTTGGCTAAGAAAATATTGTGTTCTAGGAAGCCTAATCAGTAACTCTTGGTATTAAAAGTGTTAATAGTTCCGGGCCAAATGAATAACTCTTGGTTGGGAAAATATTAGGAACCGAAGAAGCTTTTTTTATTTAACATTGGTCAATTTGTTCTAACTGAATAATGTTTACTATGTTAACTTAGGCCAAGTTCGTTGTTGCTCAATGTGAAACTATATAAAGAGTATATTTTTAAAAGTCCTAGGAAATACACATTTCACTGTAAACAAATTATATTTAAACTTTGTAAGAATATATAGTGTTGGTATTGTTCTCAAGACCAAGTAGTTTATGTTTTCTAGTTTTATAGATCCGCATCAGTTTATGTGCATATAAGTTTGAAGATAATTCTGGGAAACAATGCGAGTACACAGTGAGAGAAAAAACTGTTGTATCGATGTTATGTATTTCTTTATGTGAACTGAAAATAAATTATTATTCTAAAATCTCCTTTTCTAAAAAAGAAAGTTTTACTTTGTGGTACAAGTCAAAGAAATCCTGAAAACTGTAACACCTTCTAGACTGCCAAACTCAACGAAACTATGCTTTAAAGGACTTTTTGGCAAAACTTATTAAAAGTGTTATCAATTCTTGTGGCCAGAAATTCATGAAAAACTATCTGTACCACTGTTTTTAACACTTTTTGTATGATACAAAATTAACTCGACGTTGATTTAATAAACCTTCATCCAAACCTTCTCTCCCGTTACATGGTGATTGTTATAACGTGTAGGAAGATTTTGAACCACCCATCACCTTTGGGGAGGGCGTAACGAGAAGGGTGCCAGCGTTTCTTATAACGTGTAGGAAGATTTTGAACCACCCATCACCTTTGCGAGGGCGTAACGAGAAGGGTGCCAGCGTTTCTTATAACGTGTGCAAAAATTTTGAACCACCCATCACCTTTGCGAGGGCGTAACGAGAAGGATGCCAGCGTTTCTTATAACGTGTAGGAAAACTTTGAACCACCCATCACCTTTGCGGAAGGCGTAACGAGAAGGGTGCCATTTCGTACAGAGCGTGGCTCCTCACTAAAGTTGATGATAGACTCAATTAGGCAATCAAAGATAAGGCTTTAGTTCATCACACATTGTTTCACTAACCTAAGCCTTCTAGTAACTTCTGTGAGACGCAACAATGGTTCCTAATATATTTCTGATGTCTACAACTGTTTTCGAATGTTCAAGAGCAACGTTTTATTTGTTTTCTTTCCTGTCAGTGTAGGAAGCAAATTAAAAGCGAGGAGGGGATGTTTATTTGACCGAGCGAATATGCACCACGGGCGCACCCAATACCGTGGTTCAGGGTTCGCCTTATGGCCCTGAAAGTTCTTGGGTTCTGGGTTATATTATATGCATTCTCTTGCATTTCCTCAGAGTAATCTTCCTAATTTTGATGCATTTTTACTGGAACAGATTGAAAAGTTGGGAAAAAGGCGGGCAGGCTTCCTGCACCACTATAAGTTCAGGACAATAACTTTCATTCGCTGTGTATGTATGAACAGATGCAACTATTAAACATGACTTGAAGGGGAGGCCTCTCGATAAGCTGTATAAAAGTCAAAAAACACTGGTTTCTTGTTCTTACGTCTTATAATTCCGGCGTATTTTTTAAATCTTAAATATCCAACTTATAAATCGTAAAGACCAAGCATTATTTTAAAATGATATGTAGTACTAAAATGAAATACATATATATATATAAAGTGTCATCCGGGTTTTGAAACAAGAATTAAGAGCTCGACTATAAATATATATATCATTTGTCCTCTAAAATATTTAAAAAACACACCTACAACTTTATAACTGACTATTTCTATATTTTAGAAACACATATGTATACTTACAACTGTCCGTTTTTCTATTTCCAGAACCCATATGTATACTTACAACTGTCCGTTTTTCTATTTTCAGAACCCATATGTATACTTACAACTGTCCGTTTTTCTATTTTCAGAACCCATATGTATACTTAAACTGTTTGTTTTTCGATTTTAAAAGCTTGCGTGTACACGGTAGTATATCATATTGCTTGAAATCATATTTTGAATGTGTTTTCTTGTAGCAAAGCGACATCGGGCTATCTGCTGTGTCCACCGAGGGAAATCGAACCCCTGATTTTAGCGTTGTAAATCCGAAGACTTACCGCTGTCCCACCGGAGGACAAATAATATTTTCTTGAAACAGTTTGAAAAAAATAAATCATTAATAAACTAACAGTGTTTATGTATTTACTTTAGAATACTTATTTTGAATCAAATCGGTTTCTCGAGTCTTATGGACAAAATTACCTTAATAATAATATTACTTCCCCACAAAACCATATACTGATAGGTTAGTTAAGGCCCATTTTCGTATATAACTGTGCCATATATTAAGTACTCACTAGGTCATGGTTTAGGTTCCGTTATCTAGTACGGGCAACATGGTGATCTATTGCACAACTATGTCACATGTCATTGTATGGATCAACGGTATTTTTATGTAGCTTATAACACATTTTTATTCCTTCCTCATTTTATAGAAATATTTCATTTCATCTATCCATACAATTTATCTACATTTGCAATCTTGATTATTCGATACTCTGTCTCAAGCAAAATCAGTGCACGCGAGTTTACTTACTGTGAAATAAATGTAGAAATACGAAAACCAGACTTTATTTGATCGTAGTTTGATCCAAACTCACGTGCATTGATTTTCCTTGAAATAACTGATAATGATAGAGATGTATAGGTTCTTTCATTAACAGTTTTATTTCACCTGTACATTAATTTGAATGTTTTGTTTGTTTATGTTTGTACATAATATTACTTAGGTACATAGATTCAACTTTGATATACCCAATAATCGCTGACATTTGAATTTAACATTTTTGTGAAGTTCTTTGGTGAAAACAATAAATAAAAAAGAAGAAAGTATATAGTTTTCATAGTATTGCTAAAATCGTCAGCGTTTTTTTTGTTGTTGTTGTTGTTGTTGTAAGCTTTTTAAATATACAGTATAGAGACTAATATTACCTCTATAAACATTATCCAATCATATTCCAACATCGATCACTTGAAATATCTGATTATATGTGAAATCAGTCGAGAAAACAGTCTTAAGCCACAAAACTAAAGCTTTCAGAACTTTGTTACCGAATTGTATTGCTTGAAGATGTTTTATGAAGTCAGTGATGTAAATATTGCTTCAATGAGAACTGACGTGCATTATAGCGGATATATTGTTTCAATGAGAACTGACGTGCATTATAGCGGATAAAATCAGTGATATAAATATTCTGGACAAAATCAGTGGTATAGATATTGTTTCAATGAGAACTGACGTGCATTATAGCGGATAAAATCAGTGATATAAATATTGTTTCAATGGGAACTGACGTGCAATTATAGCGGACAAAATCAGTGGTATAGATATTGTTTCAATGGGAACTGACGTGCTATTATAGCGGACAAAATCAGTGGTATAGATATTGTTTCAATGGGAACTGACGAACAATTATAGCGGACAAAATCAGTGTTGTAAATATTGTTTCAGGCCCCCCAGTGGCACAGCGGTATGTCTGCGGACTTATAACGTTAGAATCCGGGTTTCGATACCCGTGGTGGACAGAGCCCAGATAGCCCATTGTGTAGCTTTGTGCTTAATTATAAACAAACAAACAAACAATATTGTTTCAGCGGGAATTGACATGCAATTATAGCCCACACAAAAATCAGTGTTGTAAATATTGTTTCAGTGGGAACTGACGTGAAATTATAGCTGACAAAAACGAATGTTTATTAAAAAAATTTTTGAAATATTTTGCTCTTGATATCTTAACGGGAAATTGAATAAAGGGACATTGAATCCTGAGAAATGCACAAGAATTTTGGATTTATTGATAGTACAGTTTTTGCTTGACATAGATTGCGTTATAAAACTACCTGTGTACAGAATGCTAGGGATGTTATCTAAAATCATATATATATATATATATATAACACTAATATAGAAAATAATCGGTTTGTTCTAACATACTGTACTCTATACTCTTTTTTTATATATATAGTTCTGATATAGTTGCGCGCCAAAACAAAATATGCTCAAGAATATAAAAAAGTAGTGATTAATAAGAAATGCGTAAAGGGTGTAGTATAGCAACTCATGTATGCATAACCATTACATAGAGATGAACTAAACAAAAACTCTTTGTTAACATCGTATAATATTGATAATTTATTCTAGTTCTTTAGAAAGAAACTTCAGAATAATGAGCCCCTTTTTAACTTTGACTATCTTACACAGGTTTCACTGTTTAGATTAGTTCTTTGAACATAATTCCGTGTGATATATCTATCGTAAACCAACGCGTAAGGTTCAAATATTCTCTGTCCTGAGTTTTAGTTACACAAACACATTTAAATGTACGTATGTTTCACCTTAAAGTCAGTTTCGGCCAAACAAGCGTGTGATATAAAATGCATACATAACCTACTGTTACTCCTGGACAATCTGGTAAGAGGACTTACGCAAACACCATAAAAGTAGTCCTACTTTGCTTCTTATGTACCATTTCACACGGGGTTATCTCTTTCATATTTTTTCTGAGGTTGAATGATCATTTAAAATCACACTGACCTGTCCATTTCCTGTGACCAGTGATCTCATAAACTTGAAGTTGCTGAAGGATGTACATTGTACAGAGATGGGTGGTAATAACATGTATCGCTGGGGGTGGACGTATTTCCTGGTGCAACAGGGGACATCGGACCGTAACCTCCGAATTGAGACATTTCATAAAGTTTCATTTCGGCTTTGTTTTCATTGGATATTATACTGTTTATGGAAAATGGATGACTGGAGGGATTGTAATGCGGATCCTGTTTCAGATTACCAGTGGTCAGTAGAGGGGTATGAAGAGAAACAATATCATTATAAGTGCGTGGGAATAGGCTAATCGGTTCCTGAGAGTGAAGGTCCATAGCAGTAGCATGCTGTTGTTGTTGGCACATTGTGACTAATGGGCTACAGCAAGAATTATCTAGTTTACAGCTTTGTCCACCATCGAGAATGTGACCATTGTAACCGTCGTTATTCGACATAGAGATCAGGTGGGTAACAGAAGTAGGAGTACTGCTAGGAGAGGGCACGTGTTGTTGGCGAGGGTGATGGTATTGCTGTTGTTGATGTTGTCTTGGAGGTGAATCGGCAGGGAAGGCAGTCGAGTTAGCTGATTTAATGCTGGGGGAGGAGGAACTGCAGTCTTGACTTTGTTGGTGGTGGTTCGACTGGCTGTCCTGAGTGGCTTTTGGTACTTTCCTGCTGAATTCTGTTTTTTCGCACTTGAATCTCTTTTGACGACGTAGATAACAGCCATTTTCGAACATGTTGCCGGAATCGGGATGGAGTGTCCAGAAACTCCCCTTGCCAGGTTTGTCTGGCGTTCGAGGAACTTTGACAAAGCAATCATTAAAACTGAGGCTGTGACGGATGGAATTCTGCCACCGCTGTTGATTCTGTCGATAGTAAGGAAACAAATCCATGATAAACTGGTAAATCTCGCTGAGTGTCAGCATCTTCGGGTGACTGTTTTGAATAGCCATAGTAATTAGCGAGATGTAAGAGTACGGGGGTTTAGCGTGCGTGTAGCTGCGTCGATATGATTTATCGGTATGACATCGCTGGATCACTGATCCACTGCCTTGGTCAGAAGTAGTGGATGAGTCCGCATGATGACCGGGGACCGAAAAATCTCGGCCCTGAGCAACGGAGTTTAGATCTGGCACAGTCCCTACACACGAATGGGTAGACATCCCATTCATACCAATGTTAAAAGAATTCATACCTGTTCCGAGTGGACAAGCTGGGGGAACCTGACTCATACAGGATCCTCCTCTTCCCATTCCCATGGCGTTGGGAGACATCATGTTAGCACCAAACCCTTGAGGAGAATAACTCATATTCATGGTAGCCATGGTGATGGAATTAGCACTGGGGTTGTTGATATTGTAGTTGTTGTTCATTGATGCAATGGGCTGCATGGAGTTCATACTACATGTTACATCCTGATAGCCTTTTTGCGATAACATCGTCATTGCGAATTAACTGATAGATACCCAAAAAATAAAAAAACAGAAAAGGTCAAAAATAAATACTTGCAAACGAAAGCTTCTTCTCCGATTAAAGGTCAAATCGTACAGCGTTCGCAAATTTTCTCATAATTCTAGTCCAGTTAACATTCGTTTGAAGATCATCTTTCCGCGTGACAGTCAAGTATTGAGCTAGTTTTCGCTTTAGATAACATGTTTTCTATAAATTAGCAGAGATAAAACTAAGCGAACACAACAACAGCCTTGTTCGTGTGACTTTACGTGGTGTGCACCGTACACTCACACAGTCACAGATAAACACTCAACGTATCGGTTCGAGGGGAGGGGGGTAGTAGCTGCCAGGTCCGATCCTCTCAGTTTATAGATTAACTGGGACTACATCTTGTCTAGCAGCTGTACTTTCCGCTTCTCATTCACCAGCGGCGCTCGAGTACCAGCCCTAAGTAAATAGCCCGAAATAAACCGTCATACCTAAAGGCCTTGGAAAGCTACGCCCAATTTATTGTTTTTCATGCAAATTTTCGTGTCAACTCTACTACTCTGTTTAAGCCACGCCCCCGTTTCTTAGAGATGTGTGAGTGACGGGTGTGACGTCAGAAAAGCGTAAGCCAATAAAGGAACAAGAGAACCGAACACACAAGTGCGTGCGCGTACGCCTGACCCGAACCACATGTACGTGCCACAAAGCGGAATGTTTCAGAGTAAGTACCGACAAGTTTTGTATGGAGACCTTTCTCTGATTGCAATATCATATCAAAATGAAGGTTTGACAAAAGAAAGCCGCACCAATGAAAAAGGCAGTATAAACTGATTTTGCCTAAGTTTTCATATGGATCGTGAAGGCAACCCTGCTCAACCCAAAAATCTATAAGACTGCGTTTAGTAACTTGGATTCGTAAACTTATAGATTTATGTGATCTTACGCTTTCCTCAGCTTGACATCTCTTTAATTCCCTCCTTTTAAGTGTTTACATACTGACAAGAAGACAAACTGCTTTGCAGATAGTCCTTAAGTTATGTCGTAAGTTGCTAAGATTCATTGTTACGACTTATTCTATGCCAACAGGTTCACTGTTAGTCTCTGATAGTGTTTTTAATAAGGACAATTTTGGAAAATGCATTGAAGAAACGTGATATCGTTAAATTAATTACATGTCAATGGTAATTTGGTAAAAAAACGTTTAATAAGGATGCTGTTTAAACTTAACTTTGTTTCCTAATAGTAGTTGAAGCATAACAACTCCTCGAGGTGATTTACCTTTAGGCAACAAAAACTGTTACGCCAGGTGGCGTAACAGTATAAGTATCTACTATGTGACATTTTAAATATCTGATTATAACCTTGTATTGATAAACCTGCTTCAATTTCAACGAAGTTTGGCGCAAGTATTACGTAAAATCGTGTATTCTTACGAATTAATTAGTTCTATGATTAAAAGATTGATACAACGCAATGGAGAAGTTGTCCAAAATGTTAAATTCTAAAATAATCACTAGGATTGTCTAAAAACTTGCATACACATATACAAACTCAACTTTAACCCTTGAATTACCGACATGTTTATATACTGTTCACTACCACCAGATGTCCACTTATTATGTCATATGTTTTTCTGTTAAAACACTTATTCTAAATAACTGACTAAAACTTAATTTCTATATAAAATACAACAGTGGAATTAATTACAATATGAATGGTATTTTTGCTTATATTGTTGTTATGGTTAATACGTTATTAGGGACCCTGTATCCAACAAGGTTGTGAACTAACAAGCTCTTTAATTTATAAATAGTTTGAAAAATATTTAAAAAGCTGACGTCATCAGTATTTATCAGAGTTAAACAATCTGCTTTTCAAGTTCATAGGGTTTAAGTTTTACGTTAGTAAAGCTTAAAATATATAAAATTGTTTTCTAGTCATGTGTATTCAAAATTGGGTTTCTATTTGGCAGAATGTGTTTTACTAGTTATTTTATAGTCTCGCAAATTTCATTAACATTAAAAGTACACACACAAACAATTAAAAAAGACTGAAAATATATAGGAGATTTATGTGTACTACCGTTGATCAGTCTTCAATGATTTATGTGTACTACCGTTGATCAGTCTTCAATGATTCATGAGCACTACCGTTGATCAGTCTTCAATGATTTATGTGTACTGCCGTTGATCAGTCTTCAATGATTTATGTGTACTACCGTTGATCAGTCTTCAATGATTTATGGGTACTACCGTTGATCAGTCTTCAATGATTTGTGTACTGCCGTTGATCAGTTTTCAATGATTTATGTGTACTGCCGTTGATCAGTTTTCAATGATTTATGTGTACTGCCGTTGATCAGTTTTCAATGATTCATGGGCACTACCGTTGATCAGTTTTCAATGATTCATGGGCACTACCGTTGATCAGTTTTCAATGATTTATGTGTACTACCGTTGATCAGTCTTCAATGATTTATGTGTATT